TAAGGTAACTACAGGGTTCAGGGGTTGAGGGTTTAGGGTTACAAATAAGGAAACTATTGGGTTTAAGGGTTTAGGGTTTAGGGATATAAATGAGGTAGCTATACTCATAATTACTTCTAACGGCAATTGAGGTACTTATAACTGTACTTATACTAAGTCCCGTGAAGCTCCAAGTGAGGGATTTGGGCGTTATGGTTTAGGGTTCTAGGTTATAGCCCTAAAGCCCTCAACCCTAAACCCTAAACCCTAAACCCTAAACCCTAAACCCTAAGCCCTAAGCCCTAAGCCCTAAAGCCCTCAACCCTAAAGCACTAAAGCCCGAAACTCTAGAGCCTGCAGATTTCAATTCTGCACCGCGACGTGAAGCCTGCGCCGTCCTGGCATGAGACCGGGCGCTTTCGGGTTAATGTAGATGCCTATTATAAATAATTACCGATATCATTTTTTGGGTTCCTTACTGCAATTATAGTGTAGTATACCCCAAAACCCTATTATAGTCATTAAGACCCCTATATTGGGGCACATGCCTTGTCGACGTTTAGGATCTCGGCTTGTTGGGTAAAGGGGTTTGAAGTTTAAGACAGGGGCCTTAATTTTTGGGGCCCATGACACAATAACTATGCCCAAAATAGTATTGGTAATTATTCCGGCCCCTAGATTAGGGTTTTGTATGCATGGCTGGAGGTTTTCTGGTGTAATTTCAAGGGTCAAGCGTTTACGGGTTGAGGATCTCAGCGGTTTTCACAGCTTAGGTGGCCATGGGGGGTTAAGCCTTGTCGTTCAGAGTTTAACGGCTGACAGGTTTGAGGGTGTAAGGTTTAGGTTTCCGGAATCATGTTTTGGGGCTTTTTCTGTCCGTTAGTTAGGGCTTGGGATAGCATGATGCAGTCTACCATTGCAGCACGATGCCTTTGGCCAGACTGCAGAGCGTAATGTTAGGGTTTAGGGTCCTATTCAGCCGCCCACCTTTGTAATTGTTTATCTATGTTATCACGGTGTATGTGTCTTGGTGCATGTGCTACCAGACACGTGGACCCCAGTACCTGTATCTGCATTTTGACGAGGCCCCTGCACAATCGTGCACGTATGTAAGCTGTGTATTGTAATATGCATGTGTGTGCATGTGCGTGCAGGTGCATGCACCTGCACCCGCAGATGCAGATGTATATGAAGAACGCATGTCGTTGCTTACATGCTTGTGTTTGTTGGTCTGTTTGCTCGCTTGCTTGCTTGCTAGCATGTTTCCTTAGGTAATGCTTGCTCGCTTGTAGTTTATCCGTCTATCTCTGTCTTCCTCGCTCTCTATCTGGATGTAACTTTGTGTTTTGTGTATACACGTATATGTCTATGCATATATATATATATATGTATACTCGCGATTCATGATACATGTATACTCATGTGATATGATGGCACTGTGGATGCACAGATGCACGGGTTGTTTGCCTTGAGGCCTTTGCATGCGGATGCAGATGCTCCTGTGACATGTGCCTGCACTCTTGAAAGGTGCTTCCATCGACTTCTTTCCCATCTAACGGTCTCCGCGCGCGAAGATCCGATCACTACACCTTACAACCCAATGACTGCAGAGCCGATGATTAGTATCGAGGTCCCAACAATGAGACCAGATTTTGTTGGGGGATTTCCATTATATCCCAACAGCCTTGAAGGGTCCGATCCCTGAACTCCTACTACCTGAGATGTTTTCAACCCAAAGCGGTTTAGGGTTTCGGGCCTTGAGCCCTGAAGCTTTAAAGCCAAAACCCTTAAACCCTAAACCCTTAAACTCTAAATCCCTTAAGCCCTAAACCCTTAAACCCTAAAGCCTGAAACCCGAAACCCTTAAACCCTAAATCCCTAAAGCCCTAAATCCCTAAATCCTGAAGCCTTGATGAAGCCTCAAATCCTGAAGCCTTGAAGCCTCAAACCCTAAACCCTCAAGCCCTAAACCCTACAACCCTAAAGCCTGAAGCCCTAAACCCAGAAACCCTTAAACCCTAAACCCTAAACCCTAAACCCTAAACCCTAAACCCTAAACCCTAAACCCTAAACCCTTAAACCCTTAAACCCTTAAACCCTAAAGCCCGGAATCCTGAAGCCTCAACCGTTGGGCCATAGCCTAAAGCACTCTGGGGGCCTAAATAGTTTAGGGTTTAGGGTTTAGGGTTTAGGGTTTAGGGTTTAGGGTTTAGAATAGGGTTTTGGGGCCCACTATACTTCGAATAAGGAACCCAGGGGATCCGGAGCACTTCAAAGATCATGGGACTTAGCAAGTGGGGTTAGAAGTACCTTACGGTTTAGGGTTCAGGATTCAGGGTTCAGGGTTTAGGGTTTAGGGTTTAGGGTTTAGGGTTTAGGGTTTAGGGTGTAGTTGGGGTTATAAGTAGCTATAAGTATAGTTACCTTAATGATAACCCTAGTTACTAAGTCCCATGATCCTGTAAGCAGTTGCCAGGAACATCTTCCTGTCGGAGGATGAGCGGACAGCCGTCTTAGGCGATCTGGGCATAGCCAAGGTGCCGTCTGGAGTTTTAGGGGGTTTAGGGGTTTAGGGTTTAGGTTTTAGGGTTTAGTGGTTTCAGGCTTAGGCGTTTAGGGGTTTCGGGGCTTAGGAGTTTAGGGGTTTCGGGGCTTAGGAGTTTAGGGTTTAGGATGTATGCAGGGGTTCTAGAAGTGGTGTCCTGTAAGGCTACAAGCGTTCTTCAAGAGGGTTCGAAGTTCTAGATGGTTCAGAGTTTAGGGCTTCGGGTTAGTTGTTTACAATTCGGTGCTCTTCTTGAGTTCGGACTTTCGACTTCGGAGGCTAGAAGCTTTGGGTAGAAGTTTGGGGTTTAAGGCAGGGAGGATGTCGGATGTACCAGCCATAATCAGAAGTTGTGAGCTGTTCGTACAGGATCTCTTCCTGCTGTGTGCAGCCAAGCCTATCAAAGTCAACGCACGCTGGCCTTAGCCCCCGATCCCTGGGTGCTTTTCGACTGTACCCAGAGACTCCAATATCCCTTAATTCAGGAATATACCTTAAATCATATTAGGGATCCTACTATAATTTAAGGTATATTCCTTAGTTAAGGGATATTGGAGTCTCTGGGTATTTCCGTACCGTGGCATAACGACGCCGGAAACAGATGCCAAGAATAACGGTTCTGGATGGTGAATCTTAGCCAGTCTCCGAGGCCCAACGACTGCTTGTCTACCACTACAGCTACTGAAGGCCGTTGTGGTCGTTTGCAAGCCCACTTACCAGAATCTAAATTCATTCCCTGACCCTCACGACTTTGAGGTACTCATAACCCTAAGCCCTGAACCCTAAACCCTAAAACCTAAAACCTCCATGATCTCCTCTGCGTCCGAAGGCCCAAAGGTGTCAGGCATCGGGCCATCGGGGTCTCTCCGTCGCCATGTCGAGGTCTGTTCCTTTCTACCACTATACCAACGGTCCCGGCTTAGAGGGCATCTTGAAGGAAGGACGCCTCGGGGTGTCCGACCCCAAAAAGGGGGATGCCGTGGAGGGGAGGGGCACCTATGGTACCAATCTGGTACCATCCACCCGGCCTAAAGCCATCGCCGAGAACAACTGGGATAGTGGATGGAAAGCCGCCATGGAGCACGGGAAGATGGATCACTACATCCGCTGCGATATTCCCAAGGAGGAGCTGAAGGTCTGTCCGGGCCATGGCCAGCGCAAGGACGGTCAGATCTTTGTCCATCCCGAGGGCATCGACCTACGCAAGTATCCCACGAAGTACGGTCCTTAATGCTTTTTTCAAAGTCAAGCACAGGAAAGACAAGACCGACGCGAGACAATAACGTAGACTACCGCGCAGCGGCACTGAGGTACGGTCGGGTGGGGCAGGACACAGTGCCCCAGGCCAAGCGGTATGATCCGGAGCCTTGACTCAACCCATCCGGCCCTACCCAGCGAGTCCGCTTAGGGTTGAGGGTTAGGGCTTTAGGGTTTAGTTTAGGGTTGCTTCTTTGTCTGGGTTTGGGCTCAGGGCCGAGTCTATTGCAGGTATGTTAATCGTCGTGTGTTCTGCATCAGAGTTCGCTTTGAAGTTCCTGTCTTCCTAGAATGTAATCGAATCGCGCCACGGTTTTGGAACTGCTTCACAGCCAACTGTTTCAGACAGCTGCTAAATCTGATTCGGCTATCTGGCGTCGGCGGTGTTAGCCCACATGTTGCTTCTTCGTTTCAGCTCTGCCACCCTAACCCCTAAGCCCTAAACCCTAAAACCCTGAACCGTTTTCTCACGATCACGATCAAAAGGCCGCTGCTACGTTGCTTGCGACTGCTTCCTGCCCTCTTGCTCTATGAAACAGTGGATGCAACCCAAAGCCTCGCACCATCCATATTCAGATATATATTGTAGTTCCCCACTATAGGAACCTGCTGGTTAAAGAGATCTCGGGTCTTGATTAGGGTTCTGTTTATGGATCCGAATATACATACACATACATATATGTTTTCATTATATATATACATATACACACACACATACATAACGGGTTTGGAGGGCTCGGGGGGACTCAAGCAGGTTCCTACATTATACCTCAGGGCATGCAAGATAATGCTGCTAAACCTTGAACCCTGAACCCCAAACCCCAAACCCCAAACCCCAAACCCCCAACCCTAAACCTAAACCCTACACCCTAAACCCCAACCACCAGAAACCCTAGGCTGCATCCAACAGCAGCAAGGAGTCCATCCGCAAGGCCATTTATCCGGAGCCTCAGCTACCGTCAGCTCCCCACAGCCTTTTGGCCCCCCCCCGAAGACACAACGAAAAGGCTTAGGGTCTAAAGGGTTTGGGGTTGAGGCTTAGGGTTTAGGGTCTGAAGTTTAGGGTTTACTGTTTCTGGCCTAAGGATCTAAAGTATAAGGTCTTGGGTTAGTGTTTTGCGGTTTAGGGCTCAAGGTTTGCTTCCTTGCGGTCCCTGAAAGCCGACAACATGAGAAGTCACGCTCTCTTCAAACCCAGAGACTCCAATATGCCTTAATTAAGGAATATACCTTAAATCATATCATATTTATTCTACCATAATTTAAGGTATATTCCTTAATTAAGGGATATTGGGGTCTGTTGGAAGAAGAACCTGCCAGGTCCTCTCACTTTTCTTCTGGTTCAGCCCCGATCTTATCAGAGTTACTGCTGTCATCGCCCGTGCGATTAAGACTTCTACTCGATTCTAGCCGCTTTCTTGATAATCATGTTGCCATCCTATTTGTTCCTAAACCTGCAAACCACCACATGTACTCTTGCCATGGTTGTTTCGAATACGATCTTCGCGGCATTTCGGGCCAGTACCATTCTTTACCCACAGACTCCGATATCCCTTAATTAGGAATATGCCTTAAATTATGGCAGGATCCCTAATAGGATTTAAGGTATATTCCTTAATTCAGGGATATTGGAGTCTCTGGGTACGACCCCAGAGCCACCCTGCAAGGTATAGAAATGACATTGACAGCTAACGTCTTGCTCTCGCACTTCTAGAACCCAAAACCCTAAACCCTAAAGCAAACCAAGGACCGCCGTGGGCCATCACCTCCGCCTCCTCCACCCCCTCCCCGTCCCGCGCTCCCCCCCTCCCCGGCAAGAGCAGTCTCGCAGTCTGCAGGAATCGCGCAACAGGCCAGAAATTGGTCTTCCCTAAGCCCTGAACCCTAAGCCCTAAACCCTATTCACTTCTTCTGGATGATTGCTCAACACGACGGCCCCTTTTCAGGGTTCCTTCCTGTACTAAAGCTGAGTGACGATGCGCACCTTGGGGCAGAACCCGTTATTCTCAAGCAAGCCTTCATACCCTAAACCCTACACCTTAAACCCCCTAAACCCTAAACCCTAAACCGTAAATCCTAAACCCTAAACCCTAAACATGGAAGTGCCTTGGGTTCAGGGTGCAAACAGGGCTTGCAGAAGCTTCTTGGATCCGGCTCATCATCAAGAAATGTCTATGAAGGGTTTAGGGTTTAGGCTTTAGGGCTCATCATCAAGATGTCTGCAAGGGTGTCTATGAAGGACTTATACGATGGCTGATGGACCAATTACTTCATGCTCCATAGCAAGGTGCATGCCACAGTGCCGCTAGGTTCGGGTAGAAAGGGTATTGCAGAATTTTGTCCCTCAGAAATATCATGGTGGCCAGTCTTGCAGTTGATATTCTGTCAAGGATGTTCAGACATTATGGGCCGAACGATCTTCTTTGATCTCAGGAAAGGCGACAGCATGGGCTCAGCTTTTTGGGTTTTAGTGTTTTTGGTTGTGCGGCTTAGGATTTAGGGTTTAGGGGTTTAGGGTGCTTCATCTGCCAGCTCGCGGGGGTCGTGTCACGGGGCCTTCCAGCTTGAGGATTTTCTTCTTAATGCTGTAGCCATTCAAGGCTTTCAGGCTCAGAGCCCCTAGGCCTACAGTAACTATACCCCGAACTCCATAATATAAGCCACACACCATCCTGAATCGAAGCTTAGGGCTAAGGCTCACAGCCCCTGGGCCCTGGTCGAATCCCCTGTACCCAAATCCTAGCTACAGTATATACCCGAGCCCTATAGACACGAAGCCCCCTATAATATAACCCACACACCCATCTCTCGACTCAAAGGACCCTGAATCCCGGAAGGAACAGAAGCGAGGGAAGCAGAAGCCTGCAGGCAACGCGATGCGCAAGGATACAAAGGATGGCCAGGAGAAGACCCCAAAGGATGCACGAAAGGAGTTAGGAGTCCAGGCGAAGCCCAGCAAGGACAAGCAGCAGCCAGACCAGAAGAGCAGCAATGAAACAAAGCAAGGAGCAAAGAAGGAGGAAAACAAGAAGGACGAAAGAGGCCAGAGAAAGCCGAAAGATAACAGGAAGCCAGACCCCAAGAAAGGCACGGAGGCAAAGGAAGAGGCGAAAGGAGGCCCGAGCAAGGTGAAAGGGGACAAGAAGCCCGACCCCAAGAAAGGCAAGGAGGCAAAGGAGGAGGAGAAAGGAGGCCTAAGCAAGCCGAAAGAGGACAAGAAGCTGGACCCGAAGAAGGCAAACGAGGAGGAGAAAGGAGGCCCGAGAAAGCCGAAAGGGGACAAGAAGCCAGACCCCAAAGACAGGGAGGCAAAGGAGGAGAAAGGAGGCCCAAGCAAGCCAAAACAGGACAAGAAGCCGGACCCGAAGAACGCAAACGAGGAGCTGAAAGCAGGCCCGAGCAAGCCGAAAGGGGACAAGAAGCCAGACCCGAAGAAGGCAGAGGAAGAGGAGAAAGGAGGCCTGAGCAAGCCGAAAGGGGACAAGAAGCCAGACCCGAAGAAGGCAGAGGAAGAGAAGAAAGGGGTTCCTGTTCAAGCATTTTAACACTGTTAGCCAAAGATGGCAAGAACGGTCGGACCTGCAAGTGACCATCAACTGGAGCATCCACGTTTCGCGTGGGGCATCCTTCAAACTACATGCGCTTTTGCGCGCCCCCCCCGCCCAAGTAGTCACCAGGCTTCAATGAGCTAAACTGCCTTCCCGTAAGACCGGGCTTTATGCACCTTTTCGTAAAGCCATCCACCTTACGGCCTGAGATCCAAGACCGCCGAACCCCAAACCCCAACCCCAAACGGCCTAAAACCACAAACCCCCGATCACTGCCGGCGGATGCAGTGCCGACAGGCTCCGACTGTCCTGCACTCCTCACAGAGCACGAGGAGCCCTGGCCGTCGGATTTAGGGTTTAGGGAAACTTAAAGCGCCCCTTTTAAGGGTAGCATGAGAATTCTTTTAAAATATGCTGAAGGAGCTCTGTCTTTCGGAGTTAGATTGCTTCCATAGCGGGCTTAGGGTTTAGGGAAACTTCCAGGATTTGTTTAGCGGTTCCTTTTAAGGGTACCATAAGAGTTCCCTTGAGGTATGCTTTAAGGGTTGTGAACTGCAGGGAGAAGGTTTAAGCGAACTTTAGCGTGTAGAGTTGAGTGATTTTAGCGTTAAGAGATTGATATAGAAGCCTGAAGAACTACCAACATTCTTCCTTGGGGTTTCGTGTTGAGGTTGCATTTACCACCCAAACCGTTGTCCAATCATTCAGGCCCCTGAAATATGGTCCAGGGTCTAGTCGGTTCGTGCAGCGCTGGGCTTCGGGGATCAAGCAGCATGGAGCTAAGGATTTCTTGCAGGATTTAGGGGTTTAGGTTCGGGTCCGATATCATGAACATGGGTACACAATGGTACCCGACAGGGCACCCGGTTGTCGAAAGCCGCCGTTTTCGTGGACATTGAGGACTTTAGGGTCGTGATTCGTCCGCGACGTTTCGCATTCGGCTGTTCTATGCAGTCAGCCGCTCGGGCTCCTAAACCCGTAAAGGAACCGAAGCAGGTCACAATATTAATATATATCGGAAGCCGCAAAGCCTGCCCCAGATGTAATGTAGGGGCCGTAATAACTACCAATGGTATTCCTTGGGGCTCTTTATTCTACTTATACTATACAATACCATAAAACCATATTTCAATTATCAAGGCCCCTTTATTAACATGATTTGTCGCAGGAAAGCCATCTCGGCTGCGTTTGGGCACGATCTGGGAGAAGCCACAGCCTGGATTCTCGTCGGAAACTTCTGCAAAGTAACGTAGAACATGATACATGGTCTGTTACAAACTACTGTCGTTTAGACGCAGACTATGTGTTGCGCCATGTTGATTTCGAAGAAGGTGGTTGTTATTTTTGGATGCCTCTCAAAGACATGTTATTGCTTTCAGGATGTAGTACCTTCAGAGTGTCGACAGTCTTTGTTACACTTTAGGAATCGTGCCTTCAGTTTCGCCTGTCATGGAGCCGGAAAGCTGTCATACTGTATTCGGCTTAATGCTCACGGGGGTGTGGGGAGCGAGACATATTCTTGAGAATCCGAACTTCATCGTGCATAACCACTTTGAAATCCGATGGGCATAGCTGTACATGGCGTCATAGCAAAAGGCACTTGTTTCGTTAGGACACTAGACTTGGTAGTGCTCTGAGCCTCGTTGCGCGAGCCGCAAGAAGAGACCGTGAAATTCTAGTGGAGATGTATATATAGGGGCGTGAATATTTATGAGTAACATGCATTAGGGTGACTATTGCTTGATTATATGTACCGATTTTATGACGGCCTCTGCAACGACATGTTTTTCAGGTTTCTTCGTATCTCTTTGCAGCTCAGGAACTCTGGGCCGCAGCTGCAGAGCAGCGGCCACAACTCGCGAGGGAATTATTACGAATCCTATGATGATGGCTCCTACCGCTATGAGAACCGAGATGGCTCAACATACCAGCGTGATGCAGATGGCCACACAACCTACACAACCCCGGGTGGCTGGGTCGTCGAGTCTGAAGGCAGCGATGTTGGGGACGAAGTGGCGGGTTTCGCGGTGCCGGTCGAAGACAGCGACGATGGGGAGTGTGCAGTGGCAGGTTTTGCGGTAGAGGTCGGAGACAGCCACAGCGACGGTGGATGCGGCTACGGCGGTGGTAGTGACTACGGGAACGACTACGGCGACGACTATGGCGGCGGCAGCGATTACGGCGACGACTACGACGACTACGACGACGATTACTAGCCACACTGAGGCCGTGTTACAAGTCGTAGTTGCAAAGGCCCAGCGCCTCTTTCCAAATGGGCGCCTTCATGTGTGACTGCACTCAGAATTTTGTTGCCATTAGCACCTGTATTCTATGAAGAAAATAGTATGTAAACACCCAAGCCCAAGCATCTTGAACTCCTTACACCCCAAACGCTTGGGGAACAGGGTCAATGGGTTCAACGTAAACACGCCGGAACCACAAATGGACTTCATACATTGAGGCAGCCTCTTTGCTTTAATCGGAGAACCCGAGCTGGTTGCTTCGGCGATGCCCGAAGCGTCGTCACAGCTCAGGCTGGGCATATCAGGCAGGATCTCTTGACATGACATCGAAGTGCTTCCCCAGATGGAAGCCGACGAGAGTTCTCAGTTGAATAGACTGTTGGGGTTTGGGGTTTGAAGGTTGGCGCCGTCCTGAATCCGCATTAGTCCAAAAGTGCTGGCAACAATGCCTGGGCCTACCTCCACGGAACAGTAGCGTCAAGCTTAGGGGTTTGGGAAGATTGATCGGGAAAGCATTCCTTGTCGCGTCCATCGTCCTGGCCTGTGTGGGGACGGAGAGCAGTGAATCCATCAGAAAGAGGCTGGAGCGCAAACCCTAAACCCTAAACCCTAGTGGGATTTAGGGTGGACCCTGAGCCAGAAAGCCTAAGCTTTCCAGCTGAACTATTGCGGTGACGACGGTTGGCCACTGCCCCGTGTTCCGAAACTGCAATACCCTCAGTCCTAAAACCTAAGATAAAAAAACCGCCCAGTCTCAAACCCCAAGCCCTAAACTCCGAGCATTCCATCCTCAGCCTTGAACTCAGACTCTTATGCCCCAAGCCCCAAAAAGCTCAGTCCTGCAGCCCAAAGCTTTAAACCCTGAGCCCGAAGCCCTCGCAAGAAGCATGGTTTAGGGTTTAGGGTTTAGGGTTTAGGGTCCGAAGCCCTCGCAAGAAGCAGGTGGCACTGGCTGGTGCCTGGACACAAATCGGAACTCCTGGGTACCTGGCACCTGAGGCGCGCTGTTTTGGAGCTTCAACGGGCTCAAAGGCCTTGATGCAAATAAGAAGCCTCAACCTAAACCCGTAAATTTCTGAACCCTTACCTTTCTCCCTAAACCTTGAGAACATGCAACTCTTAACCCTCAAGCCCTTACACCCTTAAGCCCTAAAAGAACCCTTAAACCCTTTCTCCCTAAACCTTAAACGTGCAACCCTAAGCCCTGAACCCTAAACCCTTACCCCTAAACCCCTAAACCCTAAACCCTAAACCCTCAACGCCTTACAGTCCTCAACGCGAAAAGCAGGGGCATTCCCGGCGACGCCAACCCCAGGCCAGCAAGATCTTAAGTCGAGTAATGTAGGGGTCTTAATAATTACCAATACTATTTTGGGGGTCCCTTATGATACTTGTAGCCTAAAATACCCCGAAACCTTATTCTAGTTATTAAGGTCCCTACATTACGGTATGACTCCTAAGTACCATGCAATGGCCCGCTTTAGTATAATTATCGTAAAGTGGGACCCAAAACCCTATTCTAATTCTTCACGCCCCTAGAGTACCACGGCTATGGCCCAACGGTTTAGGGTTTAGGGGTTTAGAGGTTTAGGGTTTAGGGTTTAGGGGTTTCTTGGGTTTGGGGTCTTGGGGTCTTGGGGTTTAGGGGTTTAGGGGTTTAGGGGTTTAGGGGTTTAGGGGTTTAGGGGTTTAGGGTTTAGGGCTTAAGGTTCAATGGCTATGATTCGACGGTTGCTGGTGCTATCTAGATACTGTAGATGCTGCGCTTCCGCATATCGCCTCTTTGATGTCAAGGCTGCTGTGCTTATTGCGATGACACTCTGGACTGTTACGAGACTGTGCTGCTTTCATGTCCGTTTTTGGGACATGTGCTTTACCAGTGTCATGCTTTTGATGTGTCTCCCGTTGTTATTGGTCTTGTGTTTGGTTTGACCTAAACCCTAAACCCTAAACCGCGTGTGAGTTTGTCCAGGTCTGGTTGGGGCAGAAGCAGGAGCCCCAGCTGGCATTTTTGGTGCCACAGGACAAGTTCTGGGGTCTAAGGTGTAGGGTTTAAATCGTAGGGTCTTCGCCGTAGCAACATCCTCCTACTCGGAAGGTAAGTCAAGCATGGGGCCGGCCCGGTGTGAGGGTTGGTCTGGCACAGGATAATCCGCTTTGTAGAAACTATGTCCCCTCCTACCCAACTTCAAAAAAGAACTGCATGCATACATGCATACATGCATACATGCATACATGCATACATGCATACATGCATACATGCATACATGCATACATACTTACACTAATACGCACATACATGCATGTATACATAAATGCATACGTACATACATGCATCTTTTCATGCAGAAATGCATACGCACGCATGCCCACACATACCTACTTACCTACGACTATGTATGCTCTATGTATGCTTGCACCTATGTCCATCCATCCACCCATCTCTCCTTTCATACGTACATACATTACATACATACATACCCCCGTGCATGCATCCTTCCACACATGCATACAAATCCGCCTACACTTGCACGTACGCGCACACGCAAGTACGTGCATAAATACAAACATACTTACTTATGTACTTACTTACTTACTTCCATGCATACGCACATGCATATGTGCAATAACTGCCGCGTTTACGAGCCAGCAGACGAACGACTAAATCGATTCATAGGGGTCTAGGCAAGCGATGTCGAAGTCACTCCTGCTGCGCTCACGCGATCTCACAAACCACATGCTCAGCGAAATGCAGGCCAAGGGAAGCCACAAATCCCTGGGCCCTTAACCACTAAACTTTCCTCCCGTCCCTGATCGAAGCTTCAGATTCGATTCAAGGCCCCTTCAGGAAAGTCGGAACTCTGGAGCCCGATTCAGCCGCGAGGATCGGCTTTGCATTCCGCCCTGAGGTACGACTTTGCTGCAGACATCTACTCCCTGGGATGCACAATCTTCGAGGCCCTGGGCTATGGACAGGCTTAGGGCTTAATTTTGGGGCCTAAATCACTAACTATACTATTTTTGGGGGTGCCTTATCATAGTTAGAGTATGACATACCCCAAAACCCTAGTCCAGTTAGTAAGGCCCCTACATTAGGGTATTTGGGCGTATCGGGTTTAGGATTTAGGGTGTAGAGTTCAGGGTTTGATGCTTAGGGTGGAAGGCATTGGGTGTAGGGTATGCACTGCTAGGTTAGGTCGGGACTTTAGGTTTATGCTTGTGGGTGTTAAGTTTACTTAAGTCAGACCTCTAGTGTGCATCAAGCAAAGTGGAGCATTGAATCCGAGCCTGTCCGGCACAGGCAGAGAAGCAGGCCATGGAACCAACATCGAAAAGTTTAGGGTTTAGAGTTTTGGGCAATAAGACACAACAATAAAAGTACGACATATGATGCTGTGGGCAACTGCATCGGACAGATCGGGGGAGACAGGTAGAGAGTCAAAGAACCCTCACGAGCCCCTCGGTTTAGGGTTTAGGGTTTAGGGTTTAGGGTTTAGCCTGCAAGCCCTTCATGGACCCTTAAACCTTAGGCTCTTACTAAACTACAGAAACAGGCAGCGCGTAGCGCAAGCTGGGCCCTAAACCCTTAACCCTACCACGAGAAGGATGCATTGTAGACAAGGCGCTTTCCTAAGTATAGCAACTTCAGATGAGTGTCTGACAAGTAAGCCAGGATGCACCAAGAGACCTTGTAAAACTGTATGAGGGCTCGCAAAAACTGCTTTGTATCCAGACGCACGAATCCTGGCAATTTGTCTAACCGCGAAACCCCTACACCCCAAAACCCTTGACCCGTAGACCGAAGCCCCTAAACCCTAAACCCTAAACCCTAGACCCTATACACCCTAAACACTATAGACCCTGTAAGCCCTAAACCCAACAAATCCCTTTATGGAGCCCTAAAACCTGAACCCCTATGTAGACCCCCTCCCAGGCGACGATGCTTCGCCGGCCCTTTGCTGCCGAGGGACGAAGCGAGCTCGCCGCACAGGTCGGGATAGAGCCACGGTTTAGGGTTTCGGGTTTAGGGTTTAGGGTTAGGGCTTAGGGTTTAGGGTTTAGGGTTTAGAGGGGTGTAGGGCCGAGGTTTTCATTCGGTGTTCAAGGTTAGGGGCCAGAACTGAGGCTTTAGGGTGTATGGTTTAAGGGCGCATAGGCCTGAGGCATGTTTTTTTTCTCATAAGGCTTTTACAGTCAAAACACATTTTACGTTTGGGAGGGGGCCAGGTTGCAAGGGTGTTACGCACGTTTGTGGGCTCCGAGTCTTGGTTATGGGTTTAGAGTCTCAGAGTTTAGAAAAAATTAAAGTATTAGCCTGACCATCACCATCGGCATCATCATCACTACCACCATCATCAGCCCCTCGCGCTCTTGTGAAGTATTCCTTCGGAATTGTAGCAGTGCTTTTGGTAAGAGTACTGCATGTAGCTGCAGCTGCAGCAGCAGTCATGTTGTCCGCTAGACACGAAATGCTCCCGAAAGGAATGGACATCCAGGTCATAATTTCACTTCTCATCCGTATGAAGCCCGACAAATCCCAGTGTCAGAGTTTGGCATCGGAAACTTCTCCGGAAGGAAGTGCGTTGTTTGATCCAGGTGTGCTTCCGCCGCAGCCCTGCTCCAGATGCAGGGGAGCCCTTGCGAACTCTGGTGTCTCGGCAAAGAGTTGCGGAGATTCCAGTTGCTGGTTTTGATTGGCATCTGTTTCGGGTATTAGGGATATCCCGAACGAAGGGATAGAAGCGCTTTCAATAAAAGGTTTCAGAGGCCTGCAGCAGTGCATGCGTAGGGTTGAAGATCCCTTTTCTCTTTCCACTCAATACTTCCCACGTCATTCCCATCGTCAATCTCGGCCATAAGCCACGGAAATAAGGCCGTAAACTTCAAGCTTTAAGCTAAACCCTAAACCCTAAACCCCCTGAGCCCCCAAAAAATCATGGCCAGGCGCAAGTCTTCGGGATCCACTGCCCGGT